AGGATTTTTAAGATGAGTTCCAAGTAGTAACGATCGGAGCCCTGTGAAACGTCTGTGGGATTGGTCGAGCTTTTTTGGTTTTCTGTTTTGTTCTGCAGTCCGGCGGGAAAGCAGATGTACGGACCTGGGTGGTACGGATTCAGTGGCAGCCTGAATTCTATACTTATTTCTCTTGTTTTGGTCGCGAGGTAGCCCGGGAATTTTTAATGACGTTCGGGGTACTATGAGGCGTTTTTTTRAGTTTATGGTCCGGACCCGAGGATTACCGCGTTTTTTGAATCTGTGCTCTGTAGTCCGGCGGGAAAAAGCAGATATGCGAACCAGTTTGTACGCAGCAGGCTAGTAGGGTCTGCATCTGATAAGTTATGACTGAAAGGTTGGACTAGGCCGGTTCAGTCGGCTTTTACTACGGGCTGAGACGACAGTAGCTATACTTGGCTATGGTTGGAATTAGTAATTCCTGTGAATGAGGACRATCGGATGCMGGGGACGGGAGTGTTAAAGATGGTTCGAAGTCAKTGAATGCGGTGTTGAAGTTCTGTTTGGGGATATGAGGAAGACGAGGGAGCGACGTTCGTCGGACGTTCGTCGGAATTCTGTGATGCCATAGGAGGTGTTCAGTTCGGGAGGATCGATATGGATTGTAATAGTGGTGCTCTGAGGGTATGCGRGGGGATGGAAGGAGATTGTATTCAGATGATATGTCGACGAAGGGAAGGAAAAAATGGAAGAAGAAAAAGAAAGAGAAAAAAAAGGAGAGAAGAAGTGGCGAGGGGAGAGAGTGGTGGAGAGCGAGTCGATGGTTCCACTACTAGTTACGAACACCACTTGGAAAGGTCGGGCAGTGGCAAGATGAGAACATAGGACTTTAGTATTTAAGGATGGAGGGTAATGGCCTAAGCCCTCTCACCAAGCATGAATGCTTGATTAGGATACGTTTGTCTCCCTGATGAGTCTGTGGTGTGCGCCCATAGCGAAACACGTTGGAGATCGCGTGCATGTGCTTCAACGTTGTAACTGTTCATCTCAGTCGTATCTTTGAAGATTTTGTCTGGTATTTGTTCATACTCTGTATGATCTTCCAGCGCGACGAACAATGTGGCCGYTGTTTGCTCCTGTATACTCGGTGAACGTGGTAACCTGCTTTGCCTTGACGAAGAATGGTGGCTACGCTGGTATGTTTTATATTATATGTTGTATAAGTTTTCTGGATTCTGGATTCTGAGCCGGAGGAGGTTGGGTTGATTATCTATGGTGGCGTAAGTGGTCTGAAAGATTACCCGGTGGTGACCGATGGGTATGGTATACGGGCTCATGAGATAGGTGTACGCAGTTGTGTTGGTTGGTCGGATGATGGTTTGGTTGTCTGGTTTTAGCGAGGGCGATGAGCTTTGAAAGKTATGCTTACGTGTCATCTCTCACCTAGAGTGCTTACGTATAGAGGGACAGCGAACTGGCGGCATAGGCTCTTGATCTAGATCCTGGATGATCGGTGTTTTGACGGATGAGTTGCTTGCTTCGTATGGCATGACGTGGTAATCGTAGAGCGGATTATGGGATGATCGTAGGGTGGATTATGGGATCTCGTAAATGCAGGAACTGCTTGTTCGTCCTGTTAGTAGGATATGCGTTTTCTAGGGGTTTGTTGATGAGTTGGAAGGGCTGTAAAACTTGTTATTTCGAAGCGAAAGTAGTTGTGACCATCAAACGCACGGATTATTGAAGTGTGAGTTGTTAGTAGTTATGAACACAAGGCAAGTTAGGGAAGTGGAATTAGAAAGGCTTTGGGCGGATCTGGAGAGAGAGGTAGACGTTTTGATACCGATTATACACGACGCTCTTCACGACGGGGATACAAATGCGAAGTCTGAGTTATTCGCGCAGCTAGATAAAGTTCTGGGGAGAGTTTATAGTGTGGGGTGCGTACTTAGGGATTTTAGGAATCGACGTGCCAGGGTGGCCAGGAGAAGGATTAATACGCATGGCTAACCCAACCCATTTTCCAAACACGCAGCAAGTGTCGTTTGCTAATCCTTCTCCTAATGGTGTTGCCGTAGGGAATAATGGGTATGGAAGCGTTACATGCTACATATGCGGAAAAACGGGTCACTATTCGAGGAATTGCTGGCAAGCCTCAGGAAGGAACTCCTCTCAGCCTTCGATCGATAGCGAGACTGCTGAGATGAGGGACTACTACAAGAGGGCGATTCAGAAAGAGAAAGAGGAGAACGAGAGGAAGGCTAGAGAAGAAATGGAGAAGAGAAGACTGGAGGAGGACCAGAGGAGAGAGTCTGAACGGATGTGGGATGCGGAAGCAAGAGAGGCACGATTGGAGGCGACAATCGCACGGCTGCTCACCCAGCAGAGTTGATCTACCTATGCGATATCGGCTGCTCCACCTGTTGTTAGGAAGAAGTCTCCGACTTCGAAGGCCAGGATGCTCCGTGAAAATCGGGAGTTATATCGATGAGTCGGAGGACGAAAGTGAGGAAGTGTGTGAAGAAGCGGGAAAACTCGTCGATGCTATTGAAAAAAGGAAGAAATCAGGGAAAAGGAGGGCTCAAGTCGAGGAAGTGGAAGAGAGGTCGGATAGAGCCGTGAAGAGAACTCACGCGAAGACAATTGTAGCTGATCAAGATACGGACAGTGAAGAGTTGAAGACACCCAGGAAGGGTCTCTCTGCTTCCTGTTCGAACGAGGGTATGCTTGAGTACGCCTTAGAAGTACACAAGAGGATGTCTGCAAAAAAGGTGCCGGAGCTTCGGAAGTTATGCAGCAAAGAAGGCATCAAGTGGTCCAAGAGAGATGAAGTGATTTGCGAGCTAGTCAGGTGCAAAACGAAAATAGCATATGAAGGATTCATGGAGAAGAGAGAAGATGTCTCCCCGTTGAACAAAAAGTGAACAAGGGAAGTTTTTTGGTGATTGTCAATATGGACGAACTTGAGAGATGTAACTCAGGAAAGAGAGGATGGGGGAGCAAGGGAGGTTGGTGCATCACGAGCTTGAGACACATGTGACAAGGTTGTTCCTACTTATGGTGGTTCGAGGCGCTTTTCCGTGGATGAAGAAATGGTTGGGTGTAATGAATGCGGACGCCTCAGAGAGTATCGATACGAGGGATTCTGGTGTGTACATCGTGGTAAGTCCGTGGTGTAAGCACATTTACATTGGTTGTACCATTAGAAGGATCATCACGAGGTGGGCTGAGCACGTCAGATGTGTGATCTCCGGGAGTTTTGGAAACGCGAGGAAATTGCATGTATGGCTCGAGAGGTTTGGTTGGGAACGCTATCTGATTCTCCCGGTAGTAGTTGGATTGGAAGATCTTGTGGGCGTTGAAATGGCACTTATAAAGCGTTTCTCGCCAGCACTAAACAGCATCGGCAAAGGAAATGGGGGAGGTAAGAAGAAGAGAAGAAAAGGGAAAATGGAGAGAGGTAAGGGCGGTAATAGGTACGCTCAAGGGTCTATACTATGTTTTACGTATCAAGGGAGCAGGACGTCRTCACTCGTTGAAGCCATGAAGAAGGTTGAAAAGGATGGCGGCAGTGCACAGGTGGCGTCTTCAGGTGGGAAGTTGTTCACCGATGGATGGTACGATATTCGTACGAAGATTGGGGAATCATTGATCGAGGTCCAAGGAAAAAGGACGAAGTTGAGAGAAGTGAGGGCGGTATTAGAGAAAGGCTGTTCTTTTCGTGTTATGAAGGTGAGGTTTGTTTCTTCCACCATCGTCAGGCGAAAGAACTTCCTAAAGGAGGTATTGTCTCGCCCCTATCTCTTAAGGAGCATGTATAAGTTTACTGCTGCAAAGATGATGTCTCTCTACAGAACGGCGGGTTTGTTTTCTCAGAAGAAGACACGCACTTCACTGAAACTGAAGATGGCCAGAGTGATGAGGAGGAATTTTGGTGTTGATATCAGGAAAAGACCGGTGGTTAAAATCCTATTCTTACCATGCTTGAGGACAAACATCGTACGGAAGATTACGGTGGATTGTTTAAGTATGCTGATTCCTGATAGGTCTATAAGTAGCTATGCATGTGGAAGGGTCAGAGTAGTCATGATGGAAGGTCGCACGGTGGGTGATCTGATATACAATCATCGGACGTGGGTTAAGAAGGGGGTGGGGTCATGTACATGTATATCGGTTGATCTTCCTCGTGTCCAGGGTCATGTCTTGACTAGGCTCAATGAGGTGAAGGGCGTTCCTGAATTCCTATGTAACTCGAAGAATATTACGCGGGGAAAACGTTATTTTCCGGAAGGGGTAGAGAATGGGATAGTAAAAGCTGTCAAACCGTGGGCCACGGGGAGAGTTGTGTGCATTAGCAAGTCTCTTGTGGCGAGTGCATTTGACAGGCCATGTTACCAGGAATCTGGCATGTTGGAAGGAGAGGGTAGAAAGATGGTTTGCTCCACTCCGGAACTTGGTTGCGGTTCCAATCGATAGGAATCCTAGAGGAACATTGTTGATTTGTCCGGTTTTGTATCTCCATGCCTATCATTTGACCTTTCGTTGGAATGGTAATTTTGTACCGCAGATGAAATCAGAATTGGAGATACTAAAGGAATCTAAGGAGGACTATAGGCGAGAGGGGTTGCAGAAGTTAGCAGAATGGGGAAGGGATGGGAGAAKTGGTACAGCTWATGTTCTGCCGAAAGACAAGGACTTGAGCAGATGGAGACCGATATCTCCAGCCACCACCGATCCTGCTAGACTGGCCAGCTCATGGGTGGGGAGGGCAATTCGGTACATGCTGCTTTGTATCGAAAAGCGAACCCATTTTGACCTCAGGTCTATGGATGAATTGCATGAAGTCCTGATGCAGCACCAGAGGTACTTGCAGAAAGAATGTGACRCGGTGATGGCACGGAGCAACGACGTCAAAGACATGTTTGCGAGACTTACTCATGAGAGTGTGCTCGAGGCTGTGGATTGGATTATTGGTATCCATGTAGCCAGGGGTATGAAAGCAGTAAAGTTGAGTTGTAGGGGAAAGGAATGTTGGATGTCGAAGACTATGAGCATGGATTGTGGGTTCGTCAACTTGTGTTTTCGTGCTGTTAGAACAATGGTGGCCTATGATATGTCCCATGCTTTTGTCAAAAGTGGTGCTCAGGTGCTTAAGCAGATATCTCGCATTCCCATGGGCAGAAATTCAAGCCCTGCTCTGGCATGTCTCGTATGTGCAAGGGCTGAATGTATGTTTCTTGCCTCATTAGGATCAGATAGAAAACTGGTTAGGGGATTACGGATGATTGATGATGTGGCAATATTGGTGGGAGTGAGGACTGCTCTGAACGGTTCATGGGAAAAAGCAAATTCGATCGTGCGGAAGTTTGAATGCTGCTATGATAGCAACCTAAGTCTGGTACGGAAGGACAAAGATTCTAATACATTTGATTTTTTGGGGACTGTAGTTCAGATTGGCATATGTCCTATCGATGTAAGAATCATTCCCAAAACCAGGAACCAAACATCTCTATTACACGATGGTAAGGTGAAGGTCCAATCTATGCARGACTTCTCCTCGTTTTCTTTCAAGAAAATGAAAAAGGCAGTATTAACAGCCAGTATGCTGAGGATCAGTAGACTTGCTACGGATGAAGATGACTCTCTAGCCGCCATTTCAGCATTGGTTATGGAGTCTAACCTCCGGGGTTATCCCCAGGAGGTCTCTCTCGGATCTCAAGTAAGGTTTGTTAGAGTGGCCGGTGGTAACTGGGGGGCTTCGCTCCTCAAGATTTACCCCGACCTGCATAAGTACTTGATATATCTTAAAACACCATGAGCAGCTGGGTGCTGAGGTCCGAAATTGAAAGTCAAATTTTTTATTTGTTTGGTTTTAGCCATATATATATATCTTTTTTAATTTAAGACGGAGCCTACGACCGGACTTGAACCGGAGGCCTTTCCCTTACCAAGGGAATGCTCTACCACCTGAGCTACGTGGGCTCACGGGGAAATTGGAGACGATCGGACTTGAACCGATAACTTCATACTTGCAAAACATGCGTTCTACCACTTCCCATACTTCTCGTTCCCACCAACCAGCTGCCGGAAATATTTTGACTACTGAACAAATGGGAGTTATTTCATCTACACGTGTATGTACATGAAGACGTGAGTTATACTGAATACTCAGTAAGTTATACAAACATAAGCTTGTAATACAGCAACACCTAACTCTAACCCAGTTAATGCGAAAACTGCGATGTACAACAAAAACAACAAAAATGTTGTAACAACTGTATGAAAATTAAGTACAATCTCTTTCCAAACTAATTTGAAGAAAAGTCTCATTATACGATACGAGAGTAATTGACTATTTGAGTAATTAAATGACAAGCTGTATGAAAAACAGTTGCTGGAAAGGAAAACCACTCAAACAATTAACTTTTAGTTTCAAAAAGGCGTCTGTTGGACGAAATTCCACAGGTCGTATCACCCTTTTCCATAGAGGCTCCCACGCAAAACGATTGCAGCGAAGAATTGACTTTCAACGTAACACTTCGTTGACGGGTAAGGTAGAAAGAATCGAATATGATATGCAGTCATTTTTGGGGGTGTGTAGATCGCAGGTGGGCCCGGCGTTTTTTCAAAAATAGGATTTTTAAGATGAGTTCCTCATCCGTCAAAACACCGATCATCCAGGATCTAGATCAAGAGCCTATGCCGCCAGTTCGCTGTCCCTCTATACGCTGTCTCTTATACACATCTAGATGTGTATAAGAGACAGGTGTGTGTGTGTGTGTGTGTGTGTGTGGTCATGGGGGCGTCGAGGGCTGGATGGTTTCTGCGTCCACCTGCGGGGCTCGGTTCAATTATTTCTCCGTCCCCCTGCGGGACTCGACCCGGTCGACTCTGGCCGATGCTTCCCTGTTAGACTGGCGTTCCAATCGTTTTTGCGTCCGCCTGCGGGACTGCCTTTCACTGGCGTCTGACGTTTTCCGCCCCGCGTCATGTCGGGCCCTCGCCTTTGCCCTCTGCCTGCCGCGCCCCTTCGTCCCGAGTTCCCCAGCGTGGGACCAGGGTCTCGTGCGGGGCATCACTCGAGACCCGCTATTTTCTTTAGTAGTTAGTAGTATAGAGATAGAGATAGAGATAGAGATGCAGAAAACATGTATGAAGTAGACATGGAGTGTGATTTTGGTACAATCAAGGTCTTGCATTTGCACCAAATTATAGCACCACATGCACTGTACCCAGGAAAGAAACAAAGATTTCTGTCATAAGACGCTGGCCATGACCTTGCAATGTCACAGACAGACTTTGGATACTTTCTAGGATTGGCTACCTATTAGAGGAACACGTGGATCCAGCGTGGCAACACCACGCCCCACATCCAGTCCTGCCTATACACAGCAGGATCGGACCAGGCAGGGGTGGCCGTACCTTGTGGACTGGACCATGCAGCCACGTGCTTGTATTCGAACGCCGGGGTGAGGCAACCAAACCTGCTGCCACATAGAGGCAGGCTTGCTATGAAATGGTATTCGAACATCGCGCCTCGCTCCACTGCTCACTGACTGTGCAAATCAAGAATGAATCATCAGCTAGCGCATGGAAAGATACACTGCCATTATAGGGCGTCGCTCCACTATTCACCCAACGCTAGAACATGGAAAGATACACCGCCATCATACCACTGCCCACTGAATTTGCAATTGAGAAGGAATCTTCCACTAGTTTATAGGGTGTTGCCCACTGCTTACCGAATGTGCGAATTGAGAACGAGTCTTCCCCTAGAAGATGGAAAGATACACTGCCATTGTATTCGAGAAGCGGGCCTCGCTCCACTGCTCACGGAATGTGGGCAAATCTCGCGCCCTTCGACGTCGATTGGTAGTAAACATCGAGGGGCAGATGTGGCTGCCTTCGACATCGGCTGGCAGGAGTTGGCTCCAATGTTGACATGGCACACTGTGAATCAGCCTGTTGCTTGACAGGTTACCTGCCGCCCGTAGCGGTTATGGTTGTGTTTGCTACTGGTAGTACATCTCATAGTCTTGTGCGATCGTTGACAATGAAGAGTGGGGTTGATGAACAGAGATGGCAGGGAATGGTGCATAGCTGCGTGGCACATTTCAGAGCTCCCAGTCTCTTCACAGTATGACAATATAAATATTGTATTATACAGACTTGCAATGTATGCTTGCAAACTTGGCAAGCAAGGTGGTGGCGTGTTCATCCCAAGACTCGCCTGATCCAGCATGTGTCTGTGAATGCCGCAGCATACATCCGCGATACACGTTGGGTGTGAATGGTCAGAAACCGTGAGTGGATTGACCAGTTGTGTGGCGGGAATGCTTTGACGACCAAGCTTCGGTGGGAACAGAAACGTGTAAACAATTTACTGTTTCCTTAATTCATAGAAAGTTTAGCTATGCTGTTCACTTCCTTCCCAATTGACCACTCTACGAAGGGGATGACAACGATTAAGAACATCAACGTGGAAACGACAGTCATGGATTACTTCCTGCTCAAAAAAGTAAGGGTCTTAGGCACATGGCCGAAGTTCATCTTCAGAACCGATACGGCCTTACACAACCTGGAGTTCGACCCGACGGAGTGGACATGGAAACCAGAAAGGAGGGCAAACATAAAGAGACTCACCCCCATTCAGGATTACACGGTCAAATTCGGGTATGAGCTACTGCTAAAAACAAAAGACCCAGAACCGGTGATCAAGGCCAGGTGGCAGAAGCTAATAGGACAGGAAGCAGACAATATCACACAGATCCCATGGAAGATTTATAAAACGATCAGACCAATCAAAATCAAAAGCCTCCAATGGCTGATTATATATGCGGCACTACCAGTCAACCAGTGGCTACA